CTCTATGTTCGCACGTGTCTCTCGGCGTGTGTGGTGTGTATGTGTGTGGAGTGTGTATCATATATGCGGCGCTAAAACGAAAAACAGAAAAAGAGTTAGGAGACCCGTACGGAAAAGGCGGCCCATTTAAGCAGACCGCCTCCTCGTGGGTCACCGTTCATGCGCGATCCGTTTGTCCGTCTGCAATTATTTAAAATATGTACAATATTAATAAAACATCATTCATTTTTTTTTTTGTTTATATTTTAATCATTCAATGATTCTGTCGTGATGTGGCGGGCTGTGCAGGGGCGACGTTTCACAGAATTCTCGTGACACTGTTCTTCCTTTTTTTTTTTTTCATTATTATTATTATTTGAAGCATTTGTTTTTTTTTCCACCTCTTCCCTCAGTTTCTTCTCGTTTCTTCCCAGATTTTTTGATTTTTCTTTTTGAACTCGAATGTTTCGGCTGCCAATTTGGATGTTTTGTTCGATCGCGGCAACAGAAAAGCGAAGAATCCGTTATAATATTAAAACACACGTTCTCTCGTCCACATTCACGCGTTTCACTTTCTCTCCCGCTCTATTACGCCGATTCACCCGAAAAATCAGTTTCGCGACGATTGCGTTGTTTTTTCTGACGTTGATCGATGTTACCCGTTTGCAGAACACGAAAAGATTTGCGACGCGGCTTTACCGTGGATTGTCTTTACCTAGGAATCCGCGGGCGTTGCACAAGTGAAAAAAAAAAAAGAAAACGATGGCGTCGCCGAAACGAGGGAATACAATTAAGGCCGCAAATCTATCCGTGTAACCGGAAACGCAGCGAGGAAAAAAAAAAAACAGACGAGGAAAGAAAAACGCGGAGGAAAAAAAAAAGAAAAAAAAAAAGGTTCGCTAAAGATGTATATACGTATCACTAAATATGACGCGGATTTCAGGACAAAGAGTATACAGAGAAGAGAAAAAGAAAGAAATAAAAGATCGATGTACCACGTGCACAGAACGAAGCAAAAGCGGATTCTCTCGTTTGTGTCCCGCTCAGTCCGCCGCAAAATATTTGTGGTCTTAGACCGAATTTGTTTTACCCCTCCTATCGCCACTTCTCCTTGATTTTCTATTCTCTCTCT